GTCCAGAAGCCGGCGACTGATCTGCCTCACCCAGGAAGAGCGCAATGATGGTGCCAACTTGGGCCAGTGAAGCAACATCCTCCACAACAAGATTGAAGAGCAAAGCGACAGCAACTTGTCTGTTCCCCCAATTCCCCAGCACTGTTCCCATCCCCCTGATTCCCCAATAAAAATCTTTAAAAAAAAAGACTGAAGGACAACAACTTGGCTGTTCCCCTTCCCCAATTCCCCGACACTGTTCCCATTCCCCAATTCCCCAGCACTGTTCCCCTTCCCCAATTCCCCTATAAAATCTTTAAAAAAAAAAGCACATTCAATATAACTATATTCACAAAACACCTATTATTTTCATTATTCAGATTATAAAAAGAAGTTGATGGATTCTTCTTGTGGTAAAGGTACATGAAAAATTCCCTCCCTCGGGGCCGTCTACCTTCTAAGCACTGATGCTTCTCGCAAGGGGAAAATGCCCACAGTGTTGAGCAAGGAAAATCAGGGAAGAAGGATGTAGGACTTAAAAGGGGGATGTTTTAATGCTTTTTAAAAACAATTTGTCCGTAGTATTGCCTGATGTGCTCCCCGATGTATGTAGAGGAAATATTTAGAGAATTATACAATCCCCAGGGTGCGGTAAAGGGATTTAAAGGAAAGTTAGGCATCTACATGTCACTTGCACTGGTAAAATGTCGGCACCAGCAGACCAAGGAGAGAGCTCTGTGGCGATGGAGAGTTCTGTACCTCAACGGCAGTGTGGCTACCCAAATCTACACGTGGTATAAAACTTCACAGAGCTACATACACACATTGCACCAAGGTCAAGTTCCTGGTTTTGATTTTGTACTACAGTTACAAGATATTGGGGGAAACTGGATGAGGTGAGCACACAGGATTTCTCTGTGCTGTGTGTGCAATTTCCTATAAATTTATAATTATTTCAAAATAAAGTTTTTTTAGATTGAAAAAAAATCATTCTGTCCAAAACTTCTAAAAAGCTATTCAATGTGTAAAAGGTGATGTTTAGTCATTTGGAAATAGCACGTAAGTTCTTCCTGTGAATGCATTCATTCACTTACTACAAATATTTCTTCTATTTATATAGGCACACCTTGGAGATATTCCAGGTGTTATAATAGAGCAAATATTGCAATAAAATGAGTGACACAAATTTTTTGGTTTCCCAGTGCATATAAGTTATGTTTACACTATATAGTCTCCAAAGCATGCAACAGCATTTTGTCTAAAAACAACAATGTAAGGGCCGGCCGAGTGGCTCAGTTGGTTAGGAGCTCGCTCAAGAGTTTGAGCTCTGAGCAACAGCGGTTCGATGCTCAGCCCAAGCTGAGTTGCCGCTGAGCTGCCAAAAGGTGGCAGGATGGCTCAGCTAAAAAAAACAACAACAACAACAATGTACATGCCTTAATTAAAAAATACTTTATTGATAAAAAAAAAAAAAAAACTACCTGAGACTGTTGGAAAAATGGCGTCAACAGACTTGCTCGACGCAGGGTTGCCACAAACCCTCAATTTGTAAAACAAACAAACAAACAAAAAAAACGCAATTATCTGTGAAGCGCAATAAAACAAGGTATGCCTGTATTTTAAAACCAAATATCCTCAATTAAAAACCACAGACAATGATAATAACTGAACTCAAACCTTTCCAATTGCTAGACTACTGCTCTCTTTTCTGGGTAGCAGCATCTCACAATACAATCCACGACCGCAGAGACTGATGCTATATGACACTACCAGACACACTCGAACAAGCCCCCAGGGAACTTACAAATGTAATCCTTCACGGCTTTCTCGAACAGGTCGTACACGTGCTCTCTGTCCAGACCATCCAGGGCCATGCTGATCTCGTCATGCAGCCATTCCAGCCAGAGCTCTGCAAGACAACAGCACCCCTTGCGTTACCACCTCCCTCACCAAAGGGCGGCTGAAATCAGGAATTTTCCTCAGCACGCCAATGTTCCATCGATCTTACACAACCTGGCACAGTTCACAGAAATGCAATTCTTAAAACCTGCACCAAGCACATAGAAGGTTTACACTTCTGAATAAGATCAAATCACAAACATCATAATATCCTACACATGTTGGGTATTTTATGTTTTGCAAATTCTGTGTTTATCACAGCAGCCTGGCTGTGGAAGCGTTACCTTCAGTCAAGGGAAAGATCTCACTCATCTTCTGGCGGGCCATCCTCACTTTGGTGAGCTCCCCTTCCAGCCGCAGCAGCCGGATGAGGTCCACGTGGCAGTTGTAGTCATAGACATTGATGGACAGCTAAAAGGAAAGGGAACGGAAGTTGAAAATGAAAATGCATCATCTAAATAGCTTAGCTTTTCACACCATTGGTGACAACACATGTCTGCCACAAACAAAATAAACGTGCTATCTGGGAGGGCCTCTGAAACAGAAATGAGACATTTACCCTCCGGAAAAGAAGAAAAAAAAAATCAATGAAAGAAGCTTTTTATAAGAATTATAAAGCTCCCTCACATCTGTTACAATTCATGTCAGAGCATACTTGGGTTCTCTTTAAGATACAAAAAACATTCTAATGAAACAAATAAACACAACAAAGTGTGACCTTAGGCAAGTTATTAACCATTAACCTTTCTAAGTCTTCATTTCCTCATCTATAAAATAGGGATACCACTAGGTTCTAGCTCATAAGATTCTTGTGAGGATTTTAAAGATAACTTAGTAATGTGCTTTAGTGCATGCCAGGTACATAGGTAATAGCTCTTTTCTTTCACCAAACAAATAGGGAGGAGGAGGGGGAGGAGGCAGGGAGGAGGAGGAGAAGGGGAAGGGGGAGAGAAGGAGGGAAGGGCGAGAGGGAGGGGAAGGGGGAGGGGGAAGAAATGATCCATATTGGCAGAAACAAGAATGACAACAGATTGGTGTCTGTTGAAGATGAGTGATCCATACATAAAGGTTTATTTTTATACTTGAAACTTTTCAAACTAAAAGTTAAAGCAATAAAATAATTACTTAAAAAGCTATCATACATCTGAGACAAAACTAAAAGAATTTCTTACTAGCAAATTTACTCTTGGGCCGGCCGAGTGGCACGATGGTTAAGAGCTGGCTTGGGACGCCAGAGGGCCCCGGTTCGGATCCCACATATGAGGGCCAGTGACACTGCCCTCCACAGCTAAGATGCTGAANCGGCTGCTCAGCTCGGGCTGGACTCGAACCGCTGTTGCTCAGAGCTCAAACTCTTGAGTGAGCTCTTAACCAACTGAGCCACTCGGCCGGCCCCTGAGTCCATCTTCACAAAGATTTCAAAGCCTACAATTTTTCAACTTTTGAATCTTGATTCATTTTTAAGCTTTCTGGTGAAAGTAAAAGAAAAAAATTAAAAGTACCAATCCTGTTACTAGAAATCTATACTTGAAATGTCTATTTTTAATGATGTTTAAATGACAAAAAGGATCTGGTTGCCTTGTTTCTTCCACTCTTTTTAAACGTTTTATATACTCACTCCCACAGCTGTTAAGACCAGACTAATGAATTAAACTCTTTATGAATGCATCGATTCTTTTTTTTTAAGATTTTATTGGGGAAGGGGAACAGCCAAGTTGTTGTCCTTCAGTCTTAGTTGTGGAGGGCGCAGCTAGCTCAGCTCCAAGTCCAGTCGCCATCCGGCCACCCGTTGGCAGCTCGCAGCTGCTCAACTCAAGGTGCCGTGTTCAATCTTAGTTGCAGATGGGCATAGCCCACCATCCCATGCGGGAGTTGAACCTCAACCTTGTTGTTAGGAGCACGTGCTTTCACCAGCTGAGCCATCCTGCCACCTGTTGGCAGCTCAGCAGCAGTTCAGCTCGGGCGCAGCTCACTGGCCCATGTGGGAATCGAACCGGTGACCCTGTGGCTCAGAACTCGCTCTCTTAACCAACTGAGCCACTAGGCCAGCCCCCGAATGCATCGATTCTTACTGTACACATTTTTTCTATACTTTTCAAAGATCTGAAAATTACTTCACAGGCCTATACACTAACCTTGTAAAATAAAAATACTGTACTAGAAAGATAAAGAAGTCAATTTGAGAATTACTATATGCTTTCCTGAGGCTTGCTTTATCAATGATGGATTTTTCAAGAACTTAGACAAAGTTTGTTAGCCACTCTGTTTTCACTCACCAATATAAAGCTGCTAGATGGGCTGCAAAATAAAAATGCAAATAAGTTAACTCTTGGAGCCAAAGTCCTTAGTGAGGGTAAGTCAAGTTTTCAGATGGTCTATGAAACAGCTCCTCTAAGAGAAGATCATTTTCAATAGATTAGACCATGACTCCTCCCAACATTTAAATCATCTAGAGGGGCAAATATTATGAACAGTGTTTTACCTTAGAAAACCTAAGGGTGCAGAGTCCACAACTGCTATGAGAGGCAAACAAAAGAATGTGTCACTAGATCCCAGGCTCCAAAAGAGGCACACAGCCTCTGCATGAGGTTCCTCCAAAGACCGAGGGACCTGCTTTTCAAAATCTCTGAAGAGTTAAAGGACTGTAGCCATGGCCTATCAGGGGGCAATGAACACCTCCAGGAGAGCCTAAAGTCAATACTGACTACATGCTGAGAAATAACAGAGGGCTATACCTGATATCTTCAACTGTACAAAAACACAGTTAAAAACTAAGAAGCAGGCAAACGTGGTTTTTGAACATTCAAAACAAGTGATACAATTTCCACACTCTTAAGTTCCTGAAAATAACACAAGGTCCTTTGGGCTCCCATTCAAAGCTACTTATGAGACTCACTCTAAGAAGCGTGGCTGCCCGGCTTCCTGACCCACAGCAGCCCTGAAGCAGATGCTGGGAGGGAGGGCACACTGACATCAGCACCATGTGACAGGGGACGCCTGACAGCAAAGAGGACTGCAAAACCATAAAGGACCGGAAAACATGATAGCCTGGGGGGGACGAGAGATCCTTAGAGAAAAAGAACTGGTGCTGTTAATGATGGCTCTGAGACATTAAGAAAGGGGTGACAGGATCAGCAGAAAACACAGAAACACCATACATTTGCAATTTTTTGTCAGACTCTAAGAGGCCACATGGACGGCATCAGAGCAGAGGCCCAAGGATAGCTTTTCAAAGCACATTTGAGGGCCGGCCAAGTGGCTCATTTGGTTAAGAGCACGAGCTCTGAGCAACAGCGTCGCCAGTTTGATTCCCACATGGGCCAGTGAGCTGTGCCTGAGCTGAGCTGCCAACATGTGGCAGGATGGCTCAGCTGGTGAAAGCACGTGCTCCTAACAGCAAGGTTGCAGATTCAACTCCCGCATGGGATGGTGGGCTATGCCCACCCGCAAATAGATTGAACAAGGCACCTTGAGCTGAGTGGCCACGAGCTGCCGACGGGCGGCCAGATGGCAACTGGACTTGGAGCTGAGCTAGCTGCGCCCTTCACAACCAAGATTGAAGGACAAGGGCCGGCCGAGTGGCGCGATGGTTAAGAGCTGGCTTGGGATGCCAGTGGGCCCCGGTTCGGATCCCGCATGTGAGGGCCAGTTACACTACCCTCCACAGCTAAGATGCTGAACAACGGCTCGACCTGGAGCTGGGCTGCCGTGGGTCGCCGGCGACGGCGTAGGCTGC